ATCTAAGATCACAAGAAAAGACCTTCTGAATACAAGATATTTTTAAAGAAATCGGAGATTTCCATCCGTCCATATATATCTAGCGCAACTTCCACATTCAAGCCCTGAAAAGGTAGTTAAAGTCATCCATGTGACTACAGTGATTCCACCCCAATTTTAAGAAGCAATGCGAGTGTTTTGTTTGTTAAAAAAAAAAAAAATCTTTATGTGCCTTGAAAGTGATAGTTGCGTTGGATCTCTTAATATATCTTCATTTGTATTCTGAAAATAAACAAATGTCTAATGGGTTTGGCACGACATTAATGACACTTTTTTTTATCTTTTGGGTGAACTAACACTTTTAGAAATAATAACAGTGATGATAGTTAGTTATCCAAACATTTGGGATAATTTGCTCAATTTGACGTAAAGTCATTATAAATAGTTGAGATTTAATTTGTTTTGTTTTCTTTCCTCTTTCCTTATTACCAGGGTGTGGCAGGTACAATCCCGGTTCAGGCTGATATTTTCACTTATCAGTAAAACCATCGTCTCCACTGCAATCAATGAGCTTCATTGTATGTATGGGGTTTATGCAGTGTTATTGTTTCTGCTGAGAGGTAAGTGTATGAAGGTGAAAATAACCTAAAAGTATTTCAGATTTTATCATTTAACACTACTTATTTCAACTGAGCATGCCCTTCTGAATACATATTGAGATGAAGGTGATGTGTATGCTGGCGGCTGTTTTTGATAAGAACAAATAGAGGCGGAAAATCCCTGCCATCCCATGAAGGGTGTGTTAAAGTCAACATGAAATTAAAATAGACTTTCTAAATGTTCCTTGTGTTATTGTGCATGATTCTCCATTTCAAGTTATTTCAAGAGAAAAGTCCATCAAACTAATACAACTTTTGTTTTATTTCTCTTTTAATTATAAATCTATCATTACCTTGTCAGAAAGGCAGCCCTTCAAAGGTGAATCATATTGTTTGATACGTTTAACTTGAAGTACTAATCAATTAGTTTTTCTGACAATTCTTCATTTGAGCTAAACTTTGCCCTGATACATTTTTGTGACTTTATTCGTCAAACGTCGAAATAAACATTGAGAAGTTCGATTTAACTTGGCTTTTAAAGGACAACATTTAGATGTATTTACATGATTTTGGCTTTCACTTTAAAAGTGCAACACAAAATTCTGATTACCTCACTCTTCAAGAAATGTATTGGAATTACATTTTAAAATGGGAGGGAGGGCATATTTTTAATCTTTGAAACCACTTGACAGACTATTTCTAAACTTACAACTCCCACAGAAAGGGAACTTTTGTCACTATCCGTCATCATCAAACTTTGTTTTATGTAGGGCTTTTTTTTCTTTACTTCCTGCCAAAAAAAAACTTTTTCGCTGTGGTAAACGCCTACCTCCTTTTAGCATGTAACAAAGAAACATATAACAGGTTAGAGAGACTGTTGCGTGTCTTGTTCTGGAAGAGATGATCTCATTTTAGTAATTGATCATATATTTAAACACATATTTACACCATCATGCCATTCTCAATGGCAAGTATAAATTTAGTGCCTGGTTTATAAAACTAATTTTATCAGGCAATAACTTTATACTTGCCAATTAGAACGTAAATATAATATCAATTACTAAAATTAGATTAGCATAACCGATGGCCATCGCATATGTAGACTGACATCTAAAAAAAATAAAAATAAAAAGATCTAGTTCTTTAAAAGTCCATAGGTATCCGCGGCAGTTTGTACTGCCATTAACACTTCCTCCAACAAGTGGAAAAAAATAGTAAACTAAACAATATTTTAGTGTGGTCATATAGAATTGAAATGTTATCATAAAATAAATTATTTTACGTTTAAAATGGAAAAATATGTAGTAAAATGATTCACTTAATTGAAATATATGTATTTATATAATAAAAAAAAAAATCAACACACGTTTGTCCGGGAAATCTCCTGGAAGTGCTTCTGTGAGTCTGCCTACTTTTTCTCCCCCATGATGCAATCCTGGAGTTGCCTCATTTATGTAAAATCTTTTTAGTAAGACATTTCTGGTTGAGACCAGATTCATTTTGTACTTTCAACATGAAGTTTACTTGTTTCGACTGAATGAGAACAACTACACAAGATGACTGCATGCATATCAATATTTTCTCTCTGAAACACACACACACACACACAAAAACCCAACAACATTAGGAAATTTGGGAATTAAATTTAAGTTGTGTTCGATAAATGTAATGATTCAAGTATGTCCGCTCGCCATATTCATCTGAATATAACAACAACTGTCTTAAGACTTGGACAAGAAAAGGGTCAGAGAGAGATCGAGAGCTGGGTTTATTAAAGAGTAATCAAAGATCGGAGATGAGATGGTGTAGTTTGTAATCACTCATGAAGATCTTTTCATTGAGGATGGACTAGAGCTGAGGGAAAACCCCCATCGTTCCACATACTGGAATTGACAATAGAGTTCTGATCGCTCTTATCTAAAAAAAAAACAATACAATAGGTCATAACTCTTAAGACAGTCAGAGAGACAATAACAGTGTAAAATAAAGTGCTGCTAGCCAGTGTTTGGGAATTCCCTACATTGAAGATTAAAGGCCACGTTTATCTGTTTTGGTGTGGCATTTGGCAAAGTTTTCCCAGCCGGAACAGCATGCCAGGTAAAGTTGAGGATAATAACAAGCTACACCATAATAGGCGACTTGTTTTTTGACTTCTCTCTCTCTTTTCTCCATTGTTAAAGTGCAGGATTCTTGTGAAGTGCTGACCTGGTGCATCTCAATCTGGAGCTATTCTGTAAGTCTTTACTGTACAAGTCATGTGATCATTTGACCTAATTATTTCCACTTTCTGGAGGAGGATTGTGGTGTGTGTGCTTTTCTGCAATAGATGTACAGGCCTCACATTATTATAAATGTGACTGTAGTATGTGTGGAGGTGGGGAATCCCTTCCAGCCTACCTTTCACTTCTCCAAGGAAAAAAGGTTTCGTAAAAGAACAAAAAATCCCACACATCCATTACTTCAGCTTTTCACTAATCTCTAGTAACGTTCTTCACAGCAACACAATTTCCTCAATGACTTTGCAACTAAAATGACTCCGTTCTATGCAGAACTGCTGCGGCCACAAGCATCTTCCAAAAGTGTGTACTTGTCCTTGGGCAACGTCATTTCGAGAGTGGTGACTTGACTGAAGTAGAGAGCATGAAACTCCTGCTGGAGTTTTCCCTCCTACCCCCGTGGCAGCTAGCTAGGGCTGTGTGTCTGACCTCATCAGGGGTTTATTGACTCAGGGGACCATGATGTTCCTTTACATATCTGACGTGATCTTGAATAAGCTGAATATGGGCCTGAAATGATGACCAGTTTTCCAGATATAACACGCACACAAATGCTTACGGAGCCATTTAGGAGGCAAATTACTTTTTTGTGTTGACAATTCACAGAAATGCTCATCAGTAACTGCTGTTACTTTAGTAATAATTGTAATAATAAGTGTAACTCTGCTACTTGTGGTTCCAACTTTTCGCCCACGTAACATTTATACTCCCAAACAAAGTTTCAGATTGACCTCCTTATGCTAAACAATGAACAATTATATTTTTTAGAGTACCATTTATTGCAACATGTTGTTCATTGTAATTCCGATTGAATGTATAATGAAAATTTGATTTGCAGTTCAGTGAAGGAGTCGGCTATAAACTCGGTAGTGATTTACTGATGGCGTGAGTCCGACTTAAAACAATTTCAACGAAAATGTTTTGTAAAAAGATTGTCATTTCAGTCGCAATTCAGACTTCGTGGTTGCGGTACTGTGCTGATGATGAAATTTGGGTCACGTGTACCCTGGCATACTTTGGGTTTGGGCTTGCAGATGTAATAAATTGCTGCAGTAATTGGGGATTTTTGTAGGCCAACCTGTCAATTAGAATCACCCTGGTTCCCAAGACGAAAACCCAATAGAATTTTTCCATTGGCTTTTGGATTATCGCGGAAAACCCAATACAAGTTTATGATTCTTACACGCTTTTTTTCCATCTTGATAATCTTCACAACTGAAACATTTCATTTCACTTTTATGAATTTTGAAGCCTAAAAACAATCACCAGAAGTACATTAACGAACTGCACCATTTGCACAAGTCTGCAATCTCGCCACTATAAGACAACTCTTTAAATCTTTATTTTCGCTTAAAGTTTGAGATTATAAACACGAGGTTGTAAAAGTTGACTAGCGAGGTCCCATTTAGCCACGTGTTAGCAACCACCTTTTACAAGACAAGGTGTTTTGTTTTAGAATGAAATGTGAAAATATCTTGAGCTTGTGATTTCTGGACGATGGAACCGGTAATGCTAAAATTATTCTGAATGGTAATGAGTTTTGGGCAACAAAAAGAAATCATCCCAGCGGCACTCTATCAATTAATGCCATAAGATATCATAACAAATCACATATGGACACACACAATGTTTTCCAATATTTCACCAATGGCCACTAGTCTATTTTAAATTGTCACGTTTTTGTTGCATTTTAGTCAGTCTGAATCATCATGATGAATGTGTTACTGGCCTCTTAAGGCAAAGGCAGCAGTTCAGCTACATTACTAGGTACAGGGACTACAGACCTTGTTTGGTCCCATAGCCTCCTCCCCTTTAAATAGCCAGTCCCACTATATCTCTCTACCCGACAGTCACCTACTTCTCTTCTGCTTTTCACTTCCAGGCCTCAGGACAGCTGAGAATTTGCTGCACTTATAGCCTCTCCCTTCATTTGTGCTTGGGAAGGGGCTTTCCACCACTTGTGCACATCATCACACACTCAAAATCCCGTGGGACTAGAGTTTAATGCTTTGACACATTATGCCTCATAATCTTACTAGCATTATCACGACCATCTCATTGTCTGGATCCCATATCTTACTAATAATTACAATTGACTGTACAAATACACTCACAAACACAAACAAGGTACAAATGGTTTAGAAAATGATCTTTAAGCAAATATTTTATTATAAAAATAAATCATCTTATATAGTTATCACATTTCTGTCTTATTTTGACATCTTTGTCAATATGTCTAATTGTGATTTTTGTTGTTTGTGCCTTTAAACCCTGTAAAAGTGCGCTGCAATAGGCCATTTTGTCAGACGCAACAACTGAGACGTCACGCCTCAATTTACCAGGATGTAGGGAACTTCCTCTCTTACTTAAAACTAGAATGTTTTTAACTGCACGGGGGGATCAAATGGCAAGTACCTCACAGTCAAAAGGTGCCTAGAAGTCTGAGAAAGTAATGACATGTTATACGTTGGAACCATATAACATTTATAATCGGAAACTGAAGTTTGATATATACGGTAGCCTGTATGAATCAAATAGTAAAATATCAAAAGATTGTCAATAGTGTGTACTGTGCTGCTCTGTATTTCCTGGTACAAATAATTATTTAATGTGATACATTTAACATGAAGGCAAGTAATAACAATATACCTACAAATGAAATATATAAACATTACTATATACTTTACAAATAGCACCATGACAAAAGTATGAATTATATTCAATAGTCTAATAACAAAAAAGCTTATCTATTAAATATAAAAGAATATGTACTTGTATCATCTGTATTTGAAATTATAATATAGCAAAAAAGTGCAAACCAGCTGATAAAGAGAATACATATCAGTGAGGTATATGATACCCATTTTATGATCCATCTGAACTATACACAGATCTGCAATACAGCGTTAAGCAAAAATTGACTGAAACTTGTACCATGCCTCAAACCATGACACCAAACAAATGGCAAAACCCAGTGACTTATAAACCGCAATTGCTTGAGATTCAATAACCTTTCATAACCAGACCATCTGCACTCTATGACAGCCATGTGAGTAAGCCTTTGAACTAGAAATGACCAACCTAAAGTCATATACTGAGTCCTATGCCACAAGCAATCTTCTTTAAAAAAAAAAAAAAAGCTCTTCTTTCGACTCCATCCTGTTTAAACGTGCCCCTGCCTTCATCAACACCCTGTCGCACATCCGACAGTCTGCGAGCTTGTAGTGATTATGTCCTCAGTGCTTTCTGTGCCCTGTGAAAAGTCAGTGAGGTAAAAGACTCACAGCTTGGCACACTCGTCCCAATGGTTTAGGTATTCGGCCGCGTGCTCATCGTCATATGTGGTGAGACACCGAGGGCACTGCAGTTCAGCGGCTCCCTGTGGTGCATTGTTACTGATAGTCCTTTTTGAGCTTGCTTCTGGGGGACTGTTCCTTAGTGGTTCGGCAGTGTCCGTTTGTCTGGGAACTTTTTTAAGGCCCATGTGGAGTCGGCGTGAGGATGAGGCGTCTTGGACGCTCTGCATGATGAAAAAACAAGGCATGTTATTAGAAGGAAATGGCCTTTGGATTAAAAAAAAAAACTCATACTGGTTGGGCTATTTAGTAGTACGACAAATAATGGGGGGCTTTAATTGAAATTTAACCTATCTCTTTTGTAAATATGTAACAGATCTTACATGATCATGCATGTATATTTTTTTTTACCAAGTAATGTTTAAAAAAATGTCAATGTCATAATGACTTTGCACTCAAATTTTTGGTGAAGTCCAGCATACATCATTGAGCAAATCATTGCACTTGGATTAACATATATATATATATGTGTGTGTGTGTGTAAAAAAATTAAAGAGAATCTGTTGCTACACCAATTTCATTGTGACTTAAAAAAACACTAATTAAAAAGAAAATATATATATATATTTTGAAATATTTTTCAGATGCTTTTACAAATATCATGAATTATTACACACACACACCCTGACGAAGCCGCAACGCGTAGGTGTATCTGTCACCAATTTTATTGTTAAAAAGCCATGATCAAATAAAAGGCTTTTTTTTCTACACAATTTGAGTGCCTTGGAGTATTACTTTGATCATGAATTATTAATTCAAAATATTATGCTCTTGGTTTAGTAGTAAAGAACAATACAGAGAAGAAAGGAAAAAATAATTATTTAAAATAATGTTTTAAAAAAGCCATTTTTTGTCCTGAATTATTCATCCGTAAATATCATTCATATTTCGGGGAGTTGCGTCACACGACATCTTACATCCCAAACTAATCTCGTCACAAAGATTTAAAATTTTCTTTCTAAGAATATGATTATTATTTCATCATTTAAAATTGCATGAAGGCTTTTTTTTTTTTTTTAATGACACATGCCTGTGTGCGTATTTGCAGTTGAAGTCGCCCAACTTCGTCTTGAAGGTCCAGGATTTTACCCTGAGCCCTCTCTCGGTCTGCCCTCTCAGATTTGAAGTCCTCAATATAGGCCAGAACCTATGAGAGAACAGGGAAAGGACTAGGTTTATGGGCAGCAAACAAAACAAATTACTTCTCATCTTTGCTGTTACAAAAATACACTGACTTCCTGTTTAAGTGGAATTCAAACTGCTAGTTGAACTGATACAGACCTGTTGCTCAAGCATCTGAATGCGCTCCTGGTCTCTCCTTGTATTGTCATCCCTTTCTCTGCCGAGTCTCTCGCACTCCATCATCCTGTCCTGCAGGAGGCCGTTGAGCCGTGCGATCTCCTGCTGGAACAAAGCCATACTGCCAGACGTAGCCTGAGCCTGAGTCTGGGTCAGGGTCGGACCTGCAGATGCCAGACCGTTTGACTCTTTCAACTTTTGACACAAACCCCTCACATACTCCTCTCTACTGGAGTCATACTTCTGCCACTTTGAGTTTAAACATTCGACCTAGGATGGAACAAAAGCATATATTTATGATGTGAACCGAAAAAAAATGACTTGACATTTTCCAGGAATATTTTTACATGTTTATTTCCGTAAAATGTACTGAGTGACATTTTCTGACAAATGTCAGTGATCATGTGATCCTTACATAGACAACTCTCTTTTTAAGCTGGTCATTCTCCTCTTCTAACTTGCTGATGATGACATTTAGATGGGGTATTTCAGGGGAATCCTTTGTCTTATGAAGATAGAAAAATGTAAGGTCAAATATAATAGTTAAACAGCAATTTTTGAAAAGATGGTCCAGATTTTGTAGAATGCTGATAGTTTCCAACGCACCTCATTAACGTGAGCTCTCTGATCGGTCATGGCTGTCATGCTTTTCTCTTTCTCCATGTGCCCCAAAAGCTCCTGGCACACCTGCACAGTGGCTCCCAGTTGGGCCCTCAACTGCTCTGCTTCTTCAGCAAGAGAGTTGCACAGGACGGCCCTGGTGGCCTGTGTCCGATCCCTTTCGGCCAAGGTGGAGCGTAGTTGCTGGATCTCCCTCTCTTTCTCCTGCTCGGGCCTTTCCCTGATGGTCTTCAGCTCTTGATCCTTCTCCTTCAACTTTTCTTGCAATCGCTGAATCTCCTGGAACAAGCAAACTGGTCAGGAGACTCATCATGCAGTTCAGGTGAATGTTAACAACAAATGCACTTGTTTCGCTACAGCTCAAGCATACAACTATACAAATACTCCCAAAGGCAAACAAACGAACAAATCTGCTGAAAAAACATCTTAAACCATGATAAACTGATTTGCTGGTCGGGCTTATCTGCTTGGATTTTGGGCAATTTTTTATCACTCTGGGAGACCACCTTAAACCATTTGTGTATGTATATATATATTTTGTATATGTATATATATCACTTTTATTATGTTTTCTTGAGGAAGGAATTCAAATACTTTACAAATATGATTCTCTACAGTGGGGTTGTTGGCAAAAAAAAAAAAAAAAAATGGTGTATGCACAGAAGTAGGAACACAAGTGAGAAATGTGTTTTAACTTACTGTTTTAGTGGTTTCCAATCTCTGGGCGGTGTCCACCTCTGATTCCATGAGTTTTTGCTTTAATTTGCAAATTTCCTTACACAAACTCTCGATTAGAGATTTCGACGGCCCTACAATATAAGGGTCATCTCCTTCAATTAACACGGTTTTCTCATACTTCCCCAGTCTTGCCTTTAAATCGGCGATAATTCCGTCTTTGGATGTAACCAAATGATTTAAACGAGCAATTTCTTGTTGTGTTTCGTGGTTAAATGTGTTGAGTGTAGAGCAGCTGCGCAACTTAGCCCTCAGCGCCTCGTTCTCCCTCTTCATTTCATCCATGCTGAACAATCCGCTCGCGCGTTAAAACGAGTACATAAAGTACGAATTTCCCATAGATTGTACAGGTTTGAGTGTCATAAGCTGCAGACGTCTGCTGTAGACCAAAAGCAGAAAGCTTCAGCCTGTGAGAGCCTCACTCAATTTCGAAATTATTTTATGAAGAGGGGATTTCCTTGCGGGGACTTCCCCCATCTCAAATTGGGTATATTTTTTCTTGTACTTCACATAAAACATCGAAAAATAGTTAGGTAACAGTCCCTGTTTTGGCATTAAAAAGGTTAACTGTCGAGTCGCATGTGATTTAATTGTGGTTTTAGACTATTTAAAGTCAGTTGTCTCTCTTTGGTATCAGGTTTGTGGAGATCACAGTTCAGTTTGACGCCGCCTGCCTGGTGCGCGTGCACGAAGAATGCGCGCCACCCTTCCCATACGCTGCCAGTGACGCGATGCTAAAAAAAAAAAAAAAAACGAGTGTAGACATCTTCCTGATTATAGGGACGTTTAATTTGACAGTGTTAAAACCATAAACGGGCTGTGTACGTCACGCTTTATTCATAAAGTCCCTATCTGGCGTCTACGCGCAGAGCGTGTGAAGCATGTTGAACTTGGCAAAAGGGCTTTCAGATAATAAAGACTTAGTGAAGATTCTATGTCGAATAATCTAAGGCATGAATGAAAAGTAGGGGAAAGGAAAACAGTTTTCACGTTTATAATGTGATAGTCCACCAAAAAAATATCGCAGAACACAAAAGAAGATATTCTGAAGAATGTTTTTAACCAGACAGTTACATTAGGGTGACAAGAAGTCCCGAAAAATTTGGGACAGTCCAGAAATCTAAGTGTCCTGAAAATGATACTAAAGCAAAAATCTTGACATAAAACATTAAAAACTGTCCGTGCAGTTGAGTGGTCCTGCAAGCCCCTCACGTTGCAGCAGGCAGCAGCCGTGAGTTAGTGTTCATAGAATGTGCAGGCAGCCAGACTAAACTTTTACGCGTGTCAATGTTGCTCTTGACGCGCAAAATCGATTCAAAGTGTTCACGTGCTATTCGCTTATGGTGTGAACTTGATTGGAAATATATAGAAAAACTTCTGCCGGAACGTTTTCATTGTAACACAATTATTTAGTTTTCCTATTTAATTACTGACAATTTAGTTGTAATAATAATTTTGGCATAAGGTTTATGAACGTTGGCTAATAGCCTGAAAGGTCTAATTTAGCCTGAGCTAAAATATCCCCCATACCATTACCACCAGCCTGCACAGTGGTAACAAGGTATGATGGATGGATCCATGTTCTCATTCAGTTTACGCTAAATTATGACTCTACCTGAATCTGAATTTCTCAACAGAAATCGAGACTATCTGACCATGCAACATATGTATAATATTTGTATACATGTATGTATGTGTGTGTTTGTCTCTGTTTTTATCTCTCTCTCTCTCTCTCTCTCTCTCTCTCTCTCTCTCTCTCTCTCTCTCTCTCTCTCTCTCTCTCTCTCTCTCTCTCTCTCTCCAACATTCTTCAAAATATCTTGTATGCTCCACAGAAGAAAGTCAGTCATACAAGTTTGGAATGATGTGAGGGTGAGTAAATGGTAACAGAATTGTCATGTTTGGCTATCCCTTTAAGTGTATTTAGGTTAGTTCCAATCCTTGATTCTGATTGGTCAATAGCTGTGCTTTATTCGTTATAAAACACGTTTATGACCTCTTCACCCAACGGTTCCATTTATCACTGCGCAACACTGCAGTTGCTCTGTTGTTGTTATTCGAGCTTTCATGCATATTACACATTGGAACGTTTATTCCAATGTGTAATATGCCAACACAAATCAAATGTTTCAAGTAGTTGAAATTCAACTGAAAATGCAACTTTTAACGACTTCTACAATCTCAATTATTCAACACCCTGAATAGAAGCTCTCAGAACAATCTTCAAAACAGGTGTTGTCTCAAGTACACCAGATGCAACTAATCAAGGGCTTCATTAATCGCACCAGGTGTGCATGAGATAGAACACATGAAAAATCTGAACTGGGTTTGAGTGTCATATTTGACTGCATATAAGAAATATAGGCCACATTTACACAGCCGGGTATTTAGAGAAAAAAAAAAAAGTTCAGAGAACATATCATCGCCATTCAAAACCAAGTCACAGGATTCAATAAAACATGGCGAAGGCACTAGAGACTGTGTTGGAAGCATGGTTCACAATTTCAAAGTTAACAGTGTAACACTACTTGGATGGGACAGAAAAAAAGAATTTATTAATGGCTGCAGCCAGATTATGAGAAGGCAAGTTCAGAAAAACCCTCTAGTGCAAAAAACCTGCAGCAAGACTTGGTGGCAGCAGGCACTGAGGTTTCAGCTTGCACAGAAAGGCGTGTAATAAACGCATGTGGTTTCAGCAGAACTCTACTACTGACCCAAAAGCACAAGAAAAGTCGGCTCCGATTTGCTCAAAATCACATAAATAAGCCACAGAAGTTTTGGGGTTCTGTTCTGTGGCGCAGTGAAACAAAACTGGAAATTTTCGGCTCTATGGAACAGCGGTATGTCTGGAGGAAGAATAATTAAGTATATTATGCTGAAAAGAACACTGTCTACAGTTAAGCATGGTGGTGGTTCTGTGATGATCTGGGGCTGTTTTGCATCACATGGCACAGGAAACCTGTGTGTGGAAGTCAATGTGGCTTCACTGAAGTATCAGGAAATCCTAAAACATCGTACCATCAGTGAAGAAGCTGAACCTTGGCAATCATTGCACCTTCCAACAGGACAATGATCCCAAGCATAATATACCACAAATCCCACCAGGGCTTACTGTAGTTGTAGAAGATACTACAGTGGCCATCACAGTCCAACCCGATCTCACGGGAATTCGTACGAATTTTTGGCTAATTTGTAACAATTCGTACAACCTCACTCTTTTTGCTAAATCGTACATATTTTACGAATTGGTCAATTCGTATGAATTCGTACGAATGACCTACCCCTGACCCCACCCCTAAACCTACCCATCACGTGGGTTTAGACAAATCGTACGAATTCGTACAAGTGAAGTCGTATGAATTGGTACGAATTAGCTACTTTTTAATCACTCGTACGAATTCGTCCGAATTGGTCGTGAGATAGCGTTGCACAGTCACCTAACTTGAACTCCATAAGGAATCTCTGATGGTATTTGACGGCGATGGTTGCAGTACGCAAACCCCAGAATATTAGTAAACCGGAGGCCGTTGTTCATGAGGAATGGGCCAAGATTTCTCAGAAATGCTGCTAGAAAGTTGTGTCTGGTTATACATTTCGTTTGCAGCAGGTCTAAAAATGTAATACAAATGCTTGCCATGAAGGGGTTGAATAATTTTGAAACTGCAGAGTTCATTAAAAGTTGCATTTTCATGAATTTGGGGAATCCACTTGAAACATTTGTTGTTAGCTATTTCAATTACTTTTGTTTTATTTGTTCATTGCACATGTCCATTTTGTTAAATATATTCTAAATAAGTAGTTTAGCTGTATTTGATGAAACAGTCAGATTATCAGAGGTGGAAGTAACGAATTACAACTACTAAGATTACTGTAATTAAGTAGTTTTTTCGTGTACTTGTACTTTTATGAGTACATTTTTTAGTCTGTAATTTTCCTTGTACTTGAGTACAAATTAAGTTAAGTAATATACTTCACTACTTTAAAAATCCCATTAATTACAAAGTACTTGTACAATTTGAATTCAACAATTATTCAAATCTTTGACCAGCATTTGGGTATCCAATGGAAATCGATCGTGGGCGGGCCAATAAAAACCCTTGTATTTGGAGCGTGAAAAAAGCCCGGTTTCTGGAGAGCTATGTTCGTCCTCACACGTCCTTCAGTTTGTATTTTAGTGTTATCAAAGAACTTTGCCGTAATAGACATGGACATTCGAGACACTGAATTCATTGAAAATTCCGAAGAAATACCAGATGACGAGTGCCCATGACCCCACATGGAGGAGTTGTTCTTATACAGAGGAAGGAAAGGAGACGTTTTAGAGAAACTTTGTTTCTGCAGTGATATGTGATAGTTCAGTTGTTTTTGTTTTTAAAGTTGGGTAGACCTCACAGTAATTTGACTAAAAACATCACTTGAAACATGAGCTTCAGCGTTACTCAGGTGACAAGCACATACTATACCGTAATAAAGATTTAGCATTGTAAACTTAGATTAAAAAGTTATATTGGATGTCATTGTCAACACATTGTTTTATTAATATTGAATCCGTGTTTTAAGCTTAGAATGAAGAGTTTAATAATGACTCTTTCATAAAAACAGTATCTTGCCGGCCATGACACACTGGCATAACAGTGTAACTGCACTGATTGACAGTCTGTCTAGATTGCAACTTTGTGTCAGTGCTAAATGCTGATAACTTTTGAAACTTTTGAAATATTAGTAGGGTACTTTTGGAAATCTTTATTGTAAAAAAAAATAGAAGTTTATAAATAAAATAACCCAATAAGCTCATTTATTTTGTATTATAATTCATTAATGATAATAATCATATTAGACCATTTTTATAACTTGGTTTCCATAAAAGTAAATAAATATCACAGGCTAAAAGTAATTAGTAATTAGTACTTGAGTAGTTTTTGAGATGGGTACTTTTACTTAAGTACATTTTTAACACCAGTACTTTTGCTTGTAATCGAGTACTTGTACTTGAGTACAAATTTTCAGTACTCTTTCCACCTCTGCAGATTATATATTTTATATAAGTATTTTAGCTGTATGTGTTAACACTCAGATATTTGTGATATATGTCAGTATTATTTTTACCTGTAATTTAATAGTAAACTTTGAGAAAAAACGCACATCTGACTAATTTATATTGCCTTAGGCTTTCTTTTATAAAAAAAAAAAATTACTCCAAATTTTTGGAGTTTTTTTAAACACATAATACACTGTTGTCTGTAAAGAAAAGAAAAAAAAAACCCTGTATTTAAAGGTTTCATCTTAGACATCCTCCTTGTCGTAATGGATAATGCCTACCATTATCTTGGATCACGTTATTCCAATTGTCTAGACAATGAAAGCCAATGGTGCTTAGTCTGTTATCTGAAGATTGAACCATAAAACAGTAATTTTAATTATACAGTAATTAACAAACTTACAATGTCGAAACCCTCATTCTGGAATCTTTATCCCTCTGCCAAAAGCAGCACACATGAAACAGCAGAAAGTCCCGTTTAGTGTGTAATGTTTGTGTGAGTTCATGATGTTCTTCCTAGGGAAACCCCACCTCAGTTCTTTAAAGTTTGCCACCATCTTGTGGTATCAAAACAGTAATGACATGTGTTTGACAGACATGATATATTACTTGTAAACAGAAGTCAATCACACACATATTGTTACAATATTCCTTTCTGCTGAAAGTGCTCTTTCGCAGCTTGATTTTACACAACAGTCCCTCATTTCTGCTCTCTATACACATTTTTATTGTTTAATGTTTAGGCATGCTTTTGCAAAGGTATGAGAGCTAAATCTGTGAAATTATAGGCAATGAAGTTGGTAATTACTCTTGGATTGCATTAGGGCAACTCTTTCATTTTATGAATGTGGAGGTGATTGCGTTTGCAACTTTTTAGCATGATCTCAAAAATGTATTAAAACTGGGGGAAAACAACACTCGGGCAAACAACGGCATACTTTTTCTTTACTTTATTTGAAAATGGTTAATACCAACAGTAAAAATAAATGACTATAAAATCTATAAATAATAATAAAACAAAACAATTCTGCACACAATTCGGTAACACGTCGCAATCATTTTTTGTTTGTTAATATTAGCGAACTACATTAGTTAAAATGAACTAACAATGAACAATACAAGAATTTTACCATTTTAATTCAGTTTTCAGATAAACATTACTTAATGCACTACCAATAAACATTACCATTAATAATAAGAATATATTGCTCATTTAAAGTTCATGTTTGTTAACGCATTAACTAATGTTAACAAATGAGACTGTAAAGTGTTAACAATAGGGTCAAGTATAAAAACAAAACATCAATGTATGCCAATAATATATTTTTAATTTTAAGTTAAGAATGATCTAGACTGAGGTACCTTAAAAAATAGTATTATTAACATTTATTTAACGGTTTATATTACTATTATGCCAATTTCCTTACATACCGTCCTTTAAATATTTTCCTAGAACATTCCCATTTTAATATGTTCCTGGGATTTCCACTTGCAGATATCAGAGCATTGAGTCATACGATCATGTCTTAAACTGCTGCTAGGGCTCAGTGAAATCAGGCATTAGGAAGCCATTGAAAGGGTCGGTTGCACCATCGTCACCGATATCCTGAGGAAAGTCTTCCTCGCTGTCACATTCTTGGCTGTCAGCCCCGGGAGGGCACTCAGTTGAGCGGCTTTCGCTCTCCTCTGCACTGCTGTTGGACTCAGTGCTTTCACTGCTGCTGCTGCTGCTGTTGCTTGTACTATACTCAGCACCTTCAACACTATGACTGTGTTCAGTGCTTTCACTTGTGTCGGCACCGTTATTCTCTTCCTTTGTGCTCAGAACAACCGTTTCCTGGCTTTCACTTGATTCACTGCTTTCACTTTTCATTGATGCATCACTAATGGATTTGATGTCTGGCTGGCTGGTCCCTTGCACTTTGTCACTGTTGTTCGTATGGACCCATTTCAGGGTGTAGATCCAGCCCTGTATGAAAGCACCAATGATGGTCATTATTCTAGTGAAACCACATATTTTGTATGATAAATGCAATTCAATGTTCCTTACCCTACGAACATTCTCTTTACTGCTTTGAGTGTTGTCCGATGTCAGTGCAGTCTCGCTTTTTTCGATCTAAATAAGTATAAAACATAGGACCGTATAAACAGGGAATCCATTTCTATGCACTGTATAGAATTTAGAGCTTTTTCTTTCTTGTTAGATTATAGCTATAACTCACCAGGCTTTCCACAGAATGGCTTTCGCTCTCTTTAGAGATCTTGAAATAATAAAAAAAAAATTAATAAAATAAAAACATTGAGATTTTCAGTCATATTCATCTGAAAATTTGTGAAAAGATATGAACAGTAATTATTAGTTATACCGTTTCATCCGAGTCAGATTCGAGCGATTCTGAGCTCTGTCAAGAAAACAGAAATTGAAGTGAGTCTTTATCCTTAATAGAAATATATTTAGTATAGCCATTAAATTTTTTGACATAGGCCTAATAGTCTTTGCACTTACATTGCTGTCGGAGGCATTTTCCTTGGACGTCTGTAAAATTAAAATCTATTTTTATACATATATACATCTCATAAAGGCAAATACTATTAAAAGTCTAAATCAAGTTCAAGTTTTTTTTTTCTTTTCAAGGCTGTTCTGATCAAGTTTTTTTTCTGTTTTCTCACAGCATAATGTTGGCATTACATACATGCATTATGAGCAAACAACATGATTCTCCTTTATGATATCAGGTGAGAACTCTTTTCGCTGTTGGTTTAACTTAAAAAAAAGTAACCTGGTTTCCTTAATTTTACGTTAATTGAAATGGAAAAATTGAGTTAATACAATGAAGGAGATTAATTTAATAATCAGAAACTCAAAATATTATGTTATCTGAACTACATAAATTAAGTTGATTTGACAAAAGAAAAAAAATGTTGTGATTACAAATCATGAAAATATATTTTTTAGTGTTGTTATGCAGTAAAGACATCACTGTAAAAAAAAGTTTATTCCTTAAATTAAGTACAGTCAACTTTGATGTTTAAGTTATTGAACTTAAATAGCATTAAACTGACTCTTGAATAACTTCACTGTTAGACCTTACCAGGTTTTGTTAGACCTTACCTGTTGCCAGTAATTTACTGTAAAAATGCACTAAAACTCAAGTTAATTAAAAAATACAACTTATTAGTTTTAGTGCATTTTTACAGTAAATTACCAGCCCGATCTCATGAAAGTTCGTATCTATGTAATTTCTCGTGGCTTTTATATGGCAAAAACAGTTTTTGCGTGTATATGGTACGTGATTTTCGCGTACATATGATACGCACTTTTTTGCGTATAATACGCACAAACTCCCCACCCCCCTCCCCCCTAAACCTAACCCAGGGTTTTTTAGTGCGTACCATATACACGAAAAAAACACTTTTGGCGTATAAATGCCACGAGAAATGACACTATAAATACGCATCTTCATGAGACTGTGTTGAAATTACTGGCAACAGTGTTGCCAGTATTTTAATGTAAAAAACCTGGTAAGGTCTAACAGTGTTGCTTAACTTATTTAAAGCAATGTAAATCCGTATGTTGTCATAAGGTATGTTGTCATTTACAGTGCAGCTGTCTCTCAGTTTAGATACACATTTAAGTTTATTGTTGCATTCATGTCATGCATTTTGACTGGAAGCTTACCTCTTCTGAAGGTTCCGAGGTATTACTCTGGTCGGAGGATTCAGATATTGAAGAGCTTTCCGACTGGAATATAAAAGATTATGAGAACAGATTTAGCACTCTTAAAGTTAACACAAAGTTTCTTGAAATTAAACTCAGCATCACTTACAGAGTTGGATGCATGTTGAATCATCTCCATAGCCATTTTATGCAAGATCTGTGTGAGGGAAAAATCTATACTCCTTGAAATTTATTGAAAGACCATTTAAATGCCTTTTTATGTTATTCACTGCATACTCACTGGATTAGCGTAGGCTGCTCCCAGCAGACATAGAATCAGTATGGCAGGTTTCATTCTAAAATACAAAAATCTGTTATGTTTTAAGAGTTCTTGAAACCTTTTTGCGTAAAAGTAATAAACGGGGTTTGAGGACCTTACCTTGCTCTTCTTTTAGTCCAAGTGCAAAGTCCAAGAAAGCAGAGGAGATCGACTAAATGAACAAGTGTGTATAGCTAAGGCTATAGACTGAATTTAATGGAATGTCTAAAGAAAGCGCTATTTAACAGGCTGACTCTTCATTAAGGTAACAGCATCACTTCCTGCTCGCCAACACTCAGATTACTGTGGGGGCACATTAACTTAAGCTGGAATACAAGAAAATGAGAGTGCCACAGCAAGAATGTTTACATAATGCGATGACACACAACAGTGTGCGCTCACCCAAACTCCATCTCCTGTACTTGTCTATTTTAGGATGCTAAACTATAGGGTGTGTGGCCTCTAAATACTAAGTAAGAGTACAGTCTGGTCCCACACTGAGACCGGAAGTCCATAATGAGAGCATTCCAACCTCCTATTTTTTTTTTCATAAACAAGCAGTACTGTATATACCTAATATAAATTCTGTTTATTATGCGCCTTATGGATATATTATTGAAAACCAGAAATGGCATAATTCATTTCGTTTATGCTTATATAAAATATTCCTATATACAGTAACATCCATACTTTTTTTTTTCTTTTGCTAAATTAATTACATCACCACGCTCTTCCTGCAACTCCATATTTGGAGTGCTGTTTTTTTCTTGGTGGAGAGTGGAATATTTCCATTTTACAAACATTCCTCACAATTTTCCTCATTTAAGCATTGCAATGTACCCAAAAACCCACATAAAACTGTGCTCCGAGATGTTTGCTGATAACGGGGCAGAGGAAATATAAAACAGTGCACAGTGGTTCACTAATGTATATGCAGGTCTTGCAATTTAAGTGGAATTTGCTTGCAGTTATAATTTGATTTCCTGAGAAAGGTGAATGTGGAAAGGGTCGATGGGACAAAGATAAGTGAGAGAAAGGGTCTAATATTTAAAGGAGTAGTTCACTTTTCCAAAAAACTTTTGCTGATAATTTACTCAACCCCATGCCATCCAAGATGCCCGTGTCATTCTTTCTTCAGTCGAAAAGGAGTTAAGGTTTTTGAAGAAAACATTCCAGGATTTTCTCCATATAATAGACTTTAATGGTAACCAAATGGTTCAAGGTCCAAATGAGAGTTTCAGTGGAGCTTCAAAGGGCTTTAAACGACACCAGACAATGAATAAGTGTCTTATCAAGCGAAACGAATCTTTCATTTAATAAACAAATAAAAAGTTTAAGTTTTATAAGCACAAAGGCTCGCCTTGCTCTGTTCTGTGATGAGCATTCGTGACTCACATGTTCAAACTCATCAAAATGAACAAAATCTTTTTTTTCGACTCATGACTCGAAGGGTCCTAGATAAGACCCTTATTCATTGTGTGGTCTCGTTTAAAGCCCTTTGAAACTGCACTGAAACTCTCTTTTGGACCTTGAACCGTTTGGTTCCCATTGAAGTCCATTATATGGAGAAAATCCTGGAATGTTTTCATCAAAAACCTTAATTTCTTTTCAACTGAAGAAAGAATGACATGGACATCTTGACTGACATGGGGGTGAGTAAATTGTCAGCAAAAGTTTTTTTTTTTTTTTTTAAACTGAAATACTCCTTTAATAAAACATGCTGCTCACAACCAGTTGGAAACTTTTCAAGTTCAAAACCACTTGGCACCACCTACAGATGCTTTTAATATCTGCTTGCATCTTTGAATGTCAAAATTCCCTGTCCCTGGGCTGCTCAAATGGATGTGACAATCTGTCAAGTCCCAGCAAGATTTCTTCTTTGTTTTCCCCATAGATTTATTAAATATTTTGGAAGAGCACAACTACACTGTTAAAATAAAATGTTAAAAAAATGTAATCCAAAATAAATTAAGAAAGTGAAACAGAAAAAAAGTTATAGAAGTTTGAGTTTATGGAAATGTACAATGTAAAAATATTAATTATTCATATTTTACATAAAATATATATTTTTAAAACCTGGGCTACTCTAAAATGTCAGAAAGATCAAAGCCAAAAATCTGAACAAGTTGTGTTTCAAATTTTAGGTTGATATCTCAAAAAATGAGCTTTCAGTAAGATTTTGTTTGAGCGCAGTACCAAACTTTTTCACTAGGGCACAATCAGACTCCATTACTGCCCATATAAGGGGGCGCCTGCATTTCCATTCGTGTTTTGAGTGATATGAACCACTATTTTCACAATTTTCATACAATTTCTGAAGTAGAGATCCTATTCAGAAGTAGCATGGGAAGTTTGGCAGATTTTGATATGAATTGAACCTCTAAGAAACACATACAAAGAACATGCATGCAAGTCATAGCTAGCTGCCACGTCACAAATGGTGAATTTATTATTTTTTTCTTGATATTTCAAACTTTTCAGACCTTTTTTTTCCAAAATAATTGAATGGATTCTATCTTTTGAACTTTTGGCATGAAAACAAACTGAGGTATCTACCATTTTTTCATGATTTTTCATGTTTATTGCTATTTTAAAATAAAGGTCTGAACACGCCTTATGAGTATGAAAATATTCTTGTTTTATATTGATAAATTATGGCTCCTCTGTAATATATTTTGAAAATCAGTCACCAAATATGGAAACTAGAGATTGTAAGCTTTCAAATGATATATAGTTTGTCAATATTATTTAAGGTATTTAATAAAATATTATTGTTTTAAAAATATAGTGGCAAACGTCCCACCTGTGGGACGGTGACAGTTAAGTGGTGCATTGCAATGTACCCAAAAACCCACATAAAACTGTTCTCCGAGATGTTTGCTGATAACGGGGCAGAGGAAATATAAAACAGTGCACAGTGGTTCACTAATGAATATGCAGGTCTTGCAATTTAAGTGGAATTTGCTTGCAGTTATAATTTGATTTCCTGAGAAAGGTGAATGTGGAAAGGGTCGATGGGACAAAGATAAGTGAGAGAAAGGGTCTAATATTTAAAGGAGTAGTTCACTTTTCAAAAAACTTTTGCTGATAATTTACTCACCCCCATGCCATCCAAGATGCCCGTGTCATTCTTTCTTCAGTCGAAAAGGAGTTAAGGTTTTTGAAGAAAACATTCCAGGATTTTCTCCATATAATAGACTTTAATGGTAACCAAATGGTTCAAGGTCCAAATGAGAGTTTCAGTGCAGCTTCAAAGGGCTTTAAATGACACCAGACGATGAATAAGTGTCTTATCAAGCGAAACGATCGGTCATTAATTTAAACAAATAAAGTTTAACTTTTATAAGCACAAAAGGCTCGCCTTGCTCTGTTCTGTGATGAGCATTCGTGACTCTCATGTTCAAACTCATCAAAATGAACAAATCTTTTTTTCGACTCATGACTCGAAGGGTCCTAGATAAGACCCTTATTCATCGTGTGGTGTCGTTTAAAGCCCTTTGAAACTGCACTGAAACTCTCTTTTGGACCTTGAACCGTTTGGTTCCCATTGAAGTCCATTATATGGAGAAAATCCTGGAATGTTTTCATCAAAAACCTTAATTTCTTTTCAACTGAAGAAAGAATGACATGGACATCTTGACTGACATGGGGGTGAGTAAATTGTCAGCAAAAGTTTTTTTTTTTTTAAACTGAAATACTCCTTTAATAAAACATGCTGCTCACAACCAGTTGGAAACTTTTCAAGTTCTGCAAAACCACTTGGCACCACCTACAGATGCTTTTAATATCTGCTTGCATCTTTGAATGTCAAAATTCCCTGTCCCTGGGCTGCTCAAATGGATGTGACAATCTGTCAAGTACCAGCAAGATTTCTTCTTTGTTTTCCCCATAGATTTATTAAATATTTTGGAAGAGCACAACTACACTGTTAAAATAAAATGTTAAAAAAATGTAATCCAAAACTGGTAATAAAATGGAAAGTTAGTTCAAAGTATTGCAGTGTTTTTTCATGTCCCTCTACATCTCTCTGTTCTTCACCCCACCCACCCCATCCCATCCCCTGTGAAGCTTCAGTTGGTTGTCTCTCTTTGTGGTCCAGTGCAGATGAATGGAATCTGATGTACAGTGTTGAGGTGGAGGCATAAGGGAGTCAGAGGTACTTTTGACTGACTGCCTCTCGGTAACTTTCTGCAACATCAGATTTAAAGATTCCTCCCATTTCTACCGGCAAACTCACAGCTCAGGCAAGTGTCAAATTTCCAATTTCTTGTTACTTTAATTGAATTAACTGAAGGATTACTTCTGAAATAATGCTTGATGCAAATCATGTTGGTGTCAACATTAAGAATATACATATTGACATTTATTTGCATTTTTTTTAAAATTGCTATAGAGTACAAGTTTAATCCATTTATTTTTGGATGTTTTCGAAGTATTTTATATGTTAAATATTCGAGAATTAAAATAAATTAAAGTAATTGTTGAGGAGTTTTCTTTGCATTTCATCTTAAACCCGAATATTACAGAGAAAATAGTATAAGAAAAAATAAATAAAATAAAATTAATAATTCATCTTCAGGAGAGCAGTATCTTCAGCTCATACCATTGCACTCCAGCTATTGTCCACATCAACATGGCCTATAATGGGCACATTGTCTTTGTGCAGGAGGCAAAAAGCTTGTGTACTTAGTCAACTCTTTTTCCAGTCTAGTAGTTTCCGATGTTTGCTTTGCCCCTCCGGACTTTGAATGTGACTTTAGAGCTGGGCTCATCTCTTGGGCCCTGTTGCCACGGCAACTGAGGTGGCTGATTTATGCCGGGGTGTCATGGCAGGGGTACGTCCAGCATACAGATGGAGAACTCTGAACCCTGTGTGAGAACGGCCCAGAGGGCAGTAAAGAAGAATTCTTAGATAAAAAAAGAATAGGGAATGGAAAGATCATGCCACTTCAAGTTTTTCAGGAAGTTTTAAGATAGGACACAGGTCTGTGGTGACATCCATACAAATTATGTTTGATTTCTTTTTTCTAGAAATGAAGAAAGACCTGTTTCTATTCTGCTTTTTGGTCTCTGCACTGTCTGCTTATGTAAGTAAACATTCAGCACACACATTCATTTATATAATCCTTCTCTCATTATCTCCAATGATAAAAGAACCAAATGGTATCAAACACCAACCAAGAGATTTCCAAGAAGTTCAAAAAGCAAGTATGTGTACTGGAAATTTGAGGAAAGGAGGTTTTATAAAGCCAATCAAATGATATCATGTGTACAGATACATCTCAGGAACATTGTGAGCAGAAATGAAATCGGTTTTTATATATGACCAGGGTCACCCAAGAGGGTTTGACACAGCTAATCACAAACATAGCTATATATTTTTCTATTGCCTTACTCTTGGGATTGGAAAGGGAGTGGACTAACTCTTAAATGAGTTCTGCTGGGCAGTAAATCAATCCCACAGTCCCAAGGCTGGTGATAGGATAATTGTGTAGCTTTAAAATGAATAAATGCCTCGCTTAAATCATAAGACTGAGGCATGTTTTGCAATTCAGCTAGGAGAATGTAATGTAAGTTGGCTCTCAACATTAGTTACTTATCAGGGTATGAAAGAAAATACTTCTTTGAAATAATATCTGCATTCCTCCACGAAATTAGAAAATGAAGCGGTTTGGAAAATATAATCTCAAACAATTGAGTTGGAAGGAGATTAGATGAAAAGCAATATGTATAATTGTATGAGTCGTGCAACTGAAACAAGATTGTTGTCTGGGTAAATACAGTTGGTTCTGTAAAGATAGCAGTGGACATCGTGTGTGGTGACTTGGGATGAGACTGTGTTGGGTTATGTGTGCATGTGGGGCACATCTATTGCAAAGTATTAAAAAAAAAATTGACCACTTTTTGCCACCTGGATATAGTAAGATGGAAGCTGTTTGATAGCTTAGCCTTAACTTTCATAAACCAAAACAAAAGGCTAAGTTACTTTTTTCTCTCCTTTTTTTAGGTACAAAGTAAGCCTCGTGGAAAAAATCAGCATGTCAAAAACAGCCCAACTCCACAAGAGCAGGTGATCCTTAAAAAGTTTGAATTTTTATATATAAACGTTAATTCTCGTTTTTGAGAACTTTTTACTGTTTGCGTAATTTGATATTTTTGTCAGTGACTATTTAATCATTTGAAGAGTTCAGATGCAAAAGCCTCTAAGTGCCATTTGAAATTTTCCTCTGATCATTTTTATCAAGCTTGTATATTTAAGTTCAGTGATTTCACTTAAATGGCAATGATGATTACCTATTAATTGTTATTTAAGTGAAATTACTGAACTTAAATATACACGTTTGATAAAAATCATCATTAAAGAAGAAAATTTCAAATGGCATTTAGAGGCTTTTGCATATGAACTCTTCATTTGTAAATCCGTTTAAAAAAACAGATGCATTTAGGAACAAAACAACTGACTGTCTTTATGAACGAGTCATTGAATTATTCACTCAACCGATTTGTTAACACTAATTCAATCAGGAATCATTTTATTCTTTGTATATTTTATAAATATAATTTGCTGTCTTAAATGTTTTATATCTGTTATATGTACTTTTGATTCAGTTATTTACGTCGGTGAAGCTTCTTGACAGTAAGGATGGAGTTCTGCCCACATTTCTGCCTTTTGAGTCCAGCTCTCAGGATGAAGACACGAGTGAAGAGAAGGAAAGCCTTGTGGAGGTGAAGCAAGTGGGGGCAGAAGAGCTTGAAGGTTCAGAGGGTGGTGAGAAGAATACACCTTTGCTCCTGAGTGAGGAGGCACTGACTCAACTCCTGCAGGTCTCAGAGGAGGCAGATGAAACTATGGAGGAGGATGAAGGTCCAGAAAAAGACAAAGAAGTTAAGGAGACTGAGGAGGAGGAGGGAAAGGAAAAGAGAGAATCTACAATGGAGAATGAAGATGTAACTGAGAAGAGTGAAGGTGAGGATGCAAATGAAACTGACAGCAGTACTGAGTCAGAAATACCAATGGGTTTGGTCTATGCAGCTGATCGCGATGCGTCTCAGCCACTCTCCACCAAGCTGGAGACCAAAGCTTCTATGGAAAAAGATGTGGCGGAAACAATCGAAGATGTGATCCCCACAGCCATAATGGACTATGATTCCCTGCAATCCATCAACGACTCAGAGGACATTGCAGAGGAACAGGAAGTGCCAACAGATCAAACACAAGATGAGCCTTTTCAAGACTCTGAGATTGACAATGAAAAAAAGAAGAGTGATCAACAGGATGAGAAGGGCAGCATTGAACCTGAGACCACTATTATTTCTAGGGGCAAGAAGGCAAAGAAAGAGAAGAAACAGCAGAAGAATGAAAGTAATACACATGGAAAGGCCAAGGCCAAGAAGCGGAGAAACAACCAGCAGCTGGAGAAGATGCAGAGTGACCAAGCCACTGCAATGGAAGCCAATGAGGACCCAGAAAAAAGGGTGGAGCCCACTGAAAATACAGAGCCTAAATCCAAAAAGAAGAATGGGAAATGGGTACCAAATGCATCACACATACATTGTTATTATAAAATATTCAAAGTGTGATTTTCTAGATTAATACAGCCAGATTATGTGCTTTTTGTAGATTTGAAATTCATTTCAATTTGAATTATTATTTTCCCGCTAAAGTAGTTTCAAATATAAATTCACCAAACACTGCTAACAGTTTAACATGCTATTCACGCCATAAGAATTTACATTATTTACGTCATTGTTATTCAGTGAAAACAATATTCTTGCTGATTTGACCTCAAACACAGTAGTTGGCAGTCCCAACCCGATCTCACGGGAATTCGTGCGAATTTTACGAGGTGGCTAATTCATAACAATTTGTACGATCTCACTTTGCTAAATCGTACATATTTTACGAATTGGCCAATTCGTATGAATTCGTACAAATGACCTACCCCTGACCCCACCCTTAAACCTACCCATCACGTGGGTTTAGACAAATCGTACGAATTTGTACGAGTGAGGTCGTAAGAATTAGTGCGAATTAGCCACTTTTTAATCACTCGTACAGAATAGCGTAGGCAGTTCTGTTGTGAAATGTCCACTGATTAGTCATAATAAGGAAAGACTTGTTTTCACATGGCTCCTTGCACAATTAAGTTATGACCTCAAAACACTTTTTCCCAGTGTGCATGATTTGTAAATGAATATATTTTGGAGTTTGCATCACTTAAAGGGATACTACAGTTTTTTTGGAAATAGGCTCATTTTACCACTCCCCCGGAGTTAAACAGTTGGGTTTTACCGTTTACAAATCCATTCAGCCATTCCATTTAGAAGAATATCAGTAACCAGACAGTTTCTGGTCTCATTGACTTCCATAGTATATTTTTTTTCCTACTATGGAAGTCAATAAGACCAGAAACTGTCTGGTTAGTGATGTTTTTCTAAATATCAGAAAATCGGCTGAATGGGTTCGAAAACGGAAAAACTCAACTTTTTAACTCCGAGGGAGTGGTAAAATGCCTATTTCCAAAAAAAGTGTAGTATCCCTTTAACCAGCTCCATATGTTCTGTTGTCTGACATAGGCTACTAAGGTATGCTCGGTTACGAATCCCGTGAAAAGCCCTATTCTGACGGGATTAGTTTAACACAGACTGGTGGGGTAAAGTTATTACCAGAGCTTCTCAATGATTTTAGTTCCGCCCAAATCTGCCAAAACATGAGTCAAGACAAAAGAGCTCAAGGACGAGTCCAAAAACAAGTTAAAACGGCATGGTTAGGATCGCGTTTTCATGTCACTTTTGCTTTTGTTAACTGCTCCAGTTTTAAACTTCTATTTGTTTCTTATTGTTTTAATTCATTTTCGACATCATAATGATCTGGTTTGTGTGTGGACATAGTTTTCCCTTTTACTGCACTTTCTTATTCTACTAGTTTACCATATCTCACAGATATCTCACAGGAAAATAGCTTCTATGGAAAATTCTTAAAAGTGTAAGTAGGTGCACTAGTTCAAATGTGTCTGATATATTTCTCTTGCAAATAAAATTGGTTGTGCCTCTTCACAGACTCGTTTGGTGGGGATGAATCCTGTACAGATTAGGGCCACTATGGAGCTTTACCCTGACATTCGGCCCAGCAGACAGGGGGAGCCAGCTGGTGAGTGTTTTGTTTTTGTCTCAATAGTTTTGAATTCGTATTAGAAATCTGCTGAGCAGAGTTTTTCTTTAACGGACCGTTAAACCGACCTGGCTTAAGAAGTCAATGAGAGCCTTAGCCCCTGGTTTATGTTCCATCCAAACCAACAGATGCAAAGGAATGTTGGCACTTTTTTTTTTTTTTTACAGGGTGGTTATATATAACCTTTATTAGACGTCTATTTAAGACCCATTTTAAAGCAGCAGTGATGCCAGAATTAAGGATACACAGTATTTTATAGAATATTTGCACATTCTTTCATTGTTTTATCCAGACCCCTGTGAGAACTTTCGCTGTAAAAGAGGAAAGACATGCAAAATGAACGATGAGAACAAGCCCGTCTGTGTGTGTCAGGAGCTGTCAGAATGTCCTCCCAGTGTAAATGATTTTGACCATGTAAGTATGTGTTATCTTGCAAACTAATTTGTTAATTTTAATTCAACTGATTACAATACAAGGGCTTTATTTGCAAATATTTATTTTGTTACTGATTAAACCTTTAAGTAGCATATATTGATTAAATAAAAAAGCATAATAACATTTGCTAATAATAAGCTGTTGGCATCGGGACATCTTCACTTTAGGTTTGCGGAACTGACAATAAGACATATGACACATCCTGTCAGCTCTTTGCCACCAAGTGTAGTCTTGACGGGACCAAAGTAGGCCACAGACTTCACCTGGACTACTCTGGGTCCTGCAAATGTAAGAAAACCTTCTGACATGCTTATTTTAATTGTTAGTGTAAAATGGGCAAAATAATTGCAATGTAAAATGGGGTTGGCAGTGATGCTAATGTGGTTAATAATTTTAGCAACCCATGTTTCTCATTAGAAGCCCCTAGTTATATTGCGTGTCTGAAGATATATACCTATTGGTGTTTTAGATGTATTTTCCAAAGAGATCTCAACAATGTCTTAGAAATTACATTTTGGTTTAGCAAGACACAAAGTCTGCAATATTTCCATTTAATTTAATATTGTAAGTTCTATACACATTTAGTTTCAAAATGCATAATTGCATAAATATTTCTCCAATCATTATTACATATTCAGGTCTTTAGCCACCCAATTCTATAACACGGGTGGATCTCTATGGTGGTGGAATTGTTGCATTATCCCAAATAAATAGATTGAGATTCACAGAAAAGTAAAGAGATTCACAAAAATGATATTTGCAAAAAATATATATAAATAATATATATATATATATATATATATATATATATATATATATATACATATATATATGTGTGTGTGTGGATGTGTTTTATGTTTATTTGTGAATTGCTTCTTGTGCATTTGTAAATCCCCTCATGCATTTTAAAACACTTCTTGCGTTGACATGCAGACAAATCCAAAAATAAGTGGACTTATTTGCACCCACCGTTTCCTCAATCCAATCTGATAACGGCCACATTGAGCTGACCAATGGTAGCACCTTCTTGCTACAACCAATCACATTAGGCTTTACAATCAGGGTGGCCTTACCCTGAAATAACTTTGCTCATTCATCTACATTGGCTCAAATAGGAAGTGTAATGCTACTGGCCATAATATTGCATCAGTAAAATAGTCTATGTTTAAAATTTGAGTTAGACCATTAGAATATGTATCAAGCCAAGGCACATTTTTATGAGCCTTTGAAACTGCCAGATAATTTGCATTTATTTATCCGTTAAAACACTTGATCACACAATTAATATTTCATATGAATCAGACTTAATTATATTATATTGTAAAAGTTAGGCTACTAGCTGCATCCAAAATAAATGCAAAGTCGTATTTTTTTCAGCATTACATTATAGTGTGAGGAGGTTAGAGAGGACTCAAAAGCGAAAGTGACAATCACAGTTCTTTAATTAACACCAATCTTCGACCACAGGTAATCCACACAGAGATAACAATATTAATCAGCAACTGAAGAAACCAGTAGAACTGGCAGTATAACTTGAACAGAATTCTTCCTCTGTGGTGCTGGTAGAGATGAGCTGAAGGCTGGTGAAGCCGCGACTCAGTAACTCACGGAGCTGGTTACAGATGACGAGCACGGTGCAGGATATCAGCTTCAGACTCTTAGCAGGTTTGGTTCTGGAAGTATATTGAATGGACACAGAATAATTTGAGTAATAGCTAGTTGAATTCACGAGACAGGACTGGACAGGACAGGTTGCAAGCATCTGAAACATCGAACAAACTGACAACAAGACAGGGAAAGAGAGGGTTAGAAAAAGCCAAGATAATGAGAGGAGATGAGGAACAGGTGGAGAGAGATGAGCCTAATGAAAAGTCATAACAGCTGTCAGTAATGCAGTAAAGTGAAAGTGAAGTGTGTGTGTGTATGACCAGCAGAGGGAGACAGAGACAGAGAAAGAGCCAGGATCATGACAGTACCCCCTCCTCAAAGAGCGCCTCCTGGCGCTCCCGAGGAGGAACCCTGGCGAGACCGAAGGAAATCATCAATGAGGGGTCCAGGATGTCCCGGGGGGAAACCCATCTTCTCTTTTTTTCGGCCTATACCCCTCCCAATCGACCAAGTACTGATGCCCTCAACCCCGACGGCACATGTCCAAGATCTTGTGGACAGTGTAGACAGGAGAACCCTCTACACAGACAGCAGAAAACGCAGTACGAGAGGTCGAGCGACTGACGGGCTTAATGCGGAGTACAGGGTGGACACGACAAAGGTTAGAAGGCAAATAAAGCTTTACGGCGACAGGATTAATGATCTTGACTATACGGAATGGCCCGATGAAACAGGGAGCCAGCTTGCGAGACTCGGACTGAAAAGGGAAATTGGAAGTGGAGAGCCACACTCTCTGACCAGTACTATAGCGGGGACTCTTAACGCGAGACTTATTTGCATAGATGCTCATGCGTCTCCTCGAACGACAAAGAGAAGACCTCACTCTCTTCCAAGTTCGCTTGCAACGACTGATGAAAGTCAGAACGGAGGGACAGTTAGAATTTGAGCGGGGGTTGATAACCGAGACAACAATGAAAGGGTGAGAGCCCTGTGGCAGAAGATGGGAGAGAGTTGTGAGCATATTCTGCACAGGGAAGCTGCTCAGCCCAAGACGCAGGATTATGGAAAGCCAGACTTAGAAAAACGGTCGACCACTGTGAGAATGACGGTATTACCGGCCGAGGCGGGGAGACCCGCGATAAAATCGAGCGCAATATGTGACCATGGACGATTGGGAATAGGTAGCGGACGTAACAGACCAAGAACAAGAAGCGATAAAATGGCGCACGTCACGATCTAAGGTGGGCCACTAAAAACGTTGGCGAATAAGCGCGATAGTGCCCCGAACGCCGAGATGGGCAGACAATTTAGAAGAATGTCCCCACTGAAGGACGGCCAGGCCAGACTGGACAATGCATCAGGTTTGACATTCTTAGAGCCAGGACGATATGAGATGGAAAAGTCGAAGCGCGTGAAAAAAAAGCGACCAACGAGCCTGGCGTGCGCTAAGTCTCTTAGCGGAACGGATATATTCTAAATTACGATGGTCAGCCAGACAATAAAAGGAACGGAGGAACCCTCCAACCACTGACGCCACTAGCCTAAAGCCAGACGAATGGCGAGCAGTTTGTGATTGCCGACATCGTAATTTCGTACCGCGTGGGACAGACAGTGAGAAAAAAAAGCGCACGGATGTATCTTGTTATCGGAGACAGACTGTTGAGAAAGGACGGCGCCTACCCCCAACTCAGACGCATCGACCTCGACAAGAAATTGCCTAGTGATATCTGGCATGATTAGAATAGGCGCAGAGGTAAAGAGGACTTTTAGACGGTCAAAAGCCTCTTGAGCGGATTCTGACCATCTAAAACTGGACTTTACTGAGGTCAGGGTGGTAAGCAGCGCGGCTACTTGGCTGAAATTGCGTATAAAGCGACGATAAAAATGAGCAAATCCAAGGAAGCACTGTAACGCGACACGAGAATCAGGAACGGGCCAGTCAACAACCGCCTGGACCTTAGATGTATCTATACTAATTCCCTCTGCAGAGATGACCGAGCCCAAGAACGTTACAGAGGACATGTGAAAAGAGCATTTCTCTTTTCATCTTACACGGTAGGGGGCGGTAAAACTCCTAAGCGGTGAGCAGCCGGTAACAAAAAGTAGTCGAAGAAGAACGGTCTCGTCTCAGTTCTCGCGCATGCGCCCATAAGGAAGTAATGGAAAGTCGAATAAAGTCGTTATTTACGTTTTTTTTCCGCACAAAAAGTAGTCTCGTCGCTTGATAAAGTTATAGTTGAGCCACTGTAGGCACATGGAATATTTAAACCTTTTCTTTTAATGACTTTCTGGGCCGTCAAGAGGCAGTCCCTCAGGCTGTCTATGGAAAAGTGATCCAGCTCTCAGATTCAATCAAAAATATCTTTATTTGTGTTCCGAAGATGAACGAAGGTCTTACGGGGTTGGTACAGCATGGGGGTGAGTAATTAATGACTTCATTTTCATTTTTGGGTGAACTAACCCTTTAAGACCCTTGATCCTCACCTGACTATGGCTTTGTAAACTTTATCCATGATGTGGTTTATAATGGACTGTGGTACAGAAACAGTGACAATGTTACACACTCTTGGCTTACTCTGGCTATTCTCTGCTGTCTCAGACGACGTTATATTTGTCCCGTTTTATCCACCGTAGCTTCTTCGAAAGGGATGGATGAGCAGTGGGCTGAGCCCTTAGTGCAACTCGCAACCAAACTGCTAGATGTCTCTAAAAATCACACACTGCACCTTTAACGGACCTCTGAAACACTGGCAGCGGGGCATTAAACAGGAGATGTATGTCCAAGCTCACAACAGGTTTTGCGCTGGAACGCACCAACAAGTCCCTTTATGGGCTCTGTAGTCCCTTTCAACAAGTCCCTTTATGTCTGTATCTCTACCTGTCGCAATAATATAAAACTCTCATGATATTAGAGTAATAATCACAGAAGAATAAAATAATGCATACCTTACCTTTTGGAGCAAAAAAAAAAGTGAAAAAGGGTATTAGTTTATATGTTTTTCTTTTCTTGTTATGATGTGTATAATGAATTGATTGAGGAATACTAAGAAGGTTGATGTCTAACTTTAAAAAATAAATGAGGAGGAGGGTAGATATCTCCTGTTGTCATTGTTGTCTATTTTTATTTCTCCTGGCAGTTATTGCTCCATGTCTAGAGTCAGAGCTGGTGCAGTTCCCTCTGCGAATGCGGGATTGGCTGAAGAATGTGCTTCTGCAATTATACGAGCATGACTCCATGTCTCCTGGCTTTCTCACTGCTAAACAAAGAATCAGGGTATGTCTATAAGGGATACTGGATAGACGGTTATTTATTTAGATATCGCTTCTCTCCTAAAGAGACAAATAGTAGATTTAAGACAAGAAACTGGAGACGAATTTCTCTCAGCTCCCCAACTTCTGACAATAAAAAATAAACGTAGATGTATTACTTGGGAAAATAGCTCTTAGCTGTATCTAAACCATCAAATGTGAACAAATGACACATGATGAATGCTCTGCTAAACAGGTTCAGAAGATCTATGAGAGCGAGAGGCGTCTTCATGCAGGCGATCACCCCGTAGAGCTTCTACAGCAGGACTTTGAGAAGAACTACAATATGTACATCTATCCAGTGCACTGGCAGTTTGCACAAATGGACCAACATCCTTCAGACAGGTGGGGTGACTCCACACTATTTTATTATGAATTAAATTTTCGCATTGTACCTCTCTCTGTCTTAGAGTCTCTTTATAATCTCTTTCACTTTGTCTCTTCGTAATTTGCGTAACATTATAAACAGAAAGAAATATTTGAAATTTGCTTGTGAAACGTAAAACGACAGTCTCTGGTAAAACTTTGTAAACACTGTAGCTTATGCCATCAAAGATGCCATCTCCGGGGGAGGTCACATGACATTAATTGGCCTGTGGGAACTATGTATTATCTCTGTATAGAAGTTGACAAATTCACTTGACATTTGTATTAGCTGTTAAATGCCAGTCTTGTAGAGCCAGATGCTGTGCTAAAAGACTGATAAAACTCCCTGACTCCTGAAATTGCTTAAAGCTATCCAATCAGATCAGTGCGATTTTGGGAAATGCTTGCCATTTTGGAGTGCATTTGTGAATGGTTCATGAGCAGTTTGTGGGCAAGACGTCTGAGGCTGAGACTAATTTGAATTTACTCATACAGGAGGTTCAGTAATATTTTTAGCTGGTGTGAGGATGTGGTTGAGGGACATTTACAGAAAAAGAAACACTCAGTGCCAGTATCCTCCATAACGTCAGTGGTCAGCCTTTAAAACAGAGGCCTTAAAGCTACAGTGTGTGCTTTTGGGGAAAATCTGCCTGTGAATCAATTACGTATAGGTGTATTACACTACAGGGCTTGACATTAACTTTTTTCTCACCCCCCACTGTGGATACCATAGGAAAAATCTGCCATAAAGATATTTAAACAATTATCTCATAATTAGGCAGCAGGTAGGCTGCTATCACTTTAAGATGTGGCGAACTTACCCATTATACTGTTTTATATTGCCAATATGTGTCTATGTGTCATCCAGTGCAAATTATAGCAGTAAAAGGACATGACTTTGTGTAGAACGCGCAGCTGGTATATTGTGTACTGTATATATTCTGCAGAAGTTTCAGATATTTCAGCATTCAGATATGTATCGAAAAACAAAACAAAATGGACAACGCTAGATTGTACTTTGCACTTTTTTTCAGATGCCTTTTTAAAAGACTACAACTGAAAAAAATATATATTATATAAATCTCTAAGTCTCCAAAGTGCCTGGTAGGAGTGACTGTGTTACAAATCACTAGCACGCAATGACGTGCACTTGCTAGCCTATTGCATTTACGTGTTCTCCAAATGCTAAAGAGGAGCCTCGTCTAGCCTCTTGAGGAAATGACTTGGACGGACCCGTCCTGCCAAGGAAGTATCCTTGACACTGAGAAATACGTTTTGTGTATACATAAATCTCCTCAATCTCTGACCCATCGACGTCTTCATCGTCTAATTTTCTGTCGCTCTACGTCATCTGGTACCATTGAACCGATTGCCTATGAGCTAAGTACAGGCGCATTTGATAGACATTCACACACAATAATACGGCTCTGGGCATTCGTAAACCACGCCTCAAATACGAGAAAATAAACATGTGGTTTCCAGACCACGTCTCATAGTCAATGATACAAGGTCTGACGTTAGTCAGGCTACACCACCGATGAAATCCAGCCGCTTTGGTGGGTTGGCGGGTGTTAGTCAAATTACACACTGCAGTTTTAAGAATCTTGTGTTGGTTTGTGATTTCAAAGTAAAGTTTATAGAACCTGAAGAGTTTTGTCAGGCAACCATCATGGGATCTTTTTATGGATTTAGTTTTAATGAATTTTGTTATTGTATACATTTTAATTGTAATTACATTTCATGAATTAAACAGGTCGTAAACATACTTTGTCACAAACAGAAAAGTATTTATGTAATCATTTCTCTGTAGAACCTTTTTGCCATATAGCATATAGCAAAGTCAAGGACCCATGTGGTTGTAAATGTACCCCTTTTCCACCAAAGCATTTTGAGAGCTGGTTCGGAGCCAGTGCCTACGCACGAAACAGTTCTTTGTGTTTCGTCAGCCAAAGAACCGGTTCTCGGCGAGGAAGACTGGTTCCAAAGCAGCACCAACTTTTTGCTGGACTAGAACCGTTCTTTTACCACGTCATGCTTACGTCGGGGGCTGGGCCGGGTTTACCATAAAATAAGATCACAAAGCCAGGAGAAACATTTGCAAAACCACGATGGAGTCTGCCTTTGTAATTGTTATGCTTGAAGTTGGCGCAAGCGTTTCTATTTTTTTATTATTATTTTTTTTTTATTGAAAACGTTATAAGCAAAGAAGAAAACAGTCACAACAAAATCTAATCAGAAAAGATTACATATTAAGGGAAAATATTAAAAGACTTACATATTTCAATTGTTTTTTAAAGCCTTCTTGGTACACGAGTTAGAGATAATCGCAAAGTAGTTGCAAGCGTTTCTAGCTAAGACGTATGGTGACGTACACAGTTTTTTTTTTGGTGGAAAAGGGGTATATAGAAGCCCCTTTGGTATTAACATACTATAGAATAAATATGTTAATTACAAGATTTTCATCTTTCTTCTGTTAATTCATTTTTGTCCTCATGACAAATACCTTAATCATGATATTAAGTAGGTTTTGTTTCACCAGTGGATATTTATAATACTGTTCCAGGATTCTTTCTCACTCTGAGCTGGCTCCTCTGCGCGTTCCCCTGGTTCCCATGGAGCATTGCACCTCTGTCTTTTTCCAAAAGTGTGATGCTGACAAGAACAAACTAGTCTCCTTCAAAGAGTGGTGCAGCTGCTTTGGCATTAAAGAAGGTAGGATGATTTAAAGGCCTTGTTTTAAACAGCTCAATAAGTTTTAAATGTATTATTCCCCACATACAATAATAAATGTAGTGTTCTCGCCTTCAGTCTATGAATAAGTCAGTGAATGGGTGAATGTGAGGCAATATGTAAAGTGCTTTGGTGGCCTTTGGGTCTGTGAAAGCACTATATATAAATGCAGTCCATTTACCATTGTTACCATTTATTCATTCTGTTTAAATGCAGTTTGCACACTTTTTAAATAATTAAAAAACTTTATACACAACCCAGGTTGGTTTTTCAACTTTCTCTATATTTTCATTCCTACAGAGGATATGGATTCTAATCTGCTGTTCTGAGCATCTCTGAGCTGCAATAGAAGCAAGTGAAGGTTGTGTTTACTTCGAAGAAAGATATAAATAATACTGGAGGTCTGTTTGTTCAGTGAAATGGTACTGTTTTTTTAAGTGTAATGATTATGATGGACAAGAATATTTTAAACTCTTTTTTTGTATGCATTATATTGTGTAGCATATTGGTTATTAACAAAATTAACTATATTTAACGATTTAGCTAAAAATTACAAATAAATAAATCAAATAAAGTGTAGTTTTAGTGTTTGAGTGTTTTTTTATGCATTCCAGTGAGGGAAAAGTTTACATAGTGAATAAAAGAATAAAATAAAAGTGATTTCATAAAATTGTTTCCAAATTATTTCAGATAAATAAAAATGCCACTCTATGTCCTTGTTATTGAACAGTTAGCATATTTATTCCAAATTATATTAATGATTAAATGAATGAATCAATAATTATTTTTTTCAAACAGTTTTTCAAACAGTTTTTATGCTCATGTAAATAAATAATCTTAAATAAAAAAATAAATCTTAAACACCACTTGCTTAAAAATTGATAACTGAGAATCATTAAAATCATTAAAGTTACGGTTCAATAGCAAGTTTTCTGTCCTCTGTCACAAGCCTTGGAAGCTTTGTTATGCACACACTTACAACGGTTATGTGTTTTGAAAAGAAATATGTGGGTTATGACCATTAAAACAAATAAAAAAAACTGTGTCTGGAACAAACCCTTAGGACGTCATTAAATTACTTCGGTCAGGACTGTGTGCCTAATTGTGCAACACGATTCAATGACTTCTGTGTGAGCAGTTGATGCATGGACATTTTCTCTGCCTCAATGCAATGGACAATACTTCATTTGAGAAAAATGATCTCGAATAACCTTGTATAATTAGTTTTTGTAGCACTCCATAAAATCAGAAATATGCACTAAAATGATTAGGAAATACGTGCCACCTAAAGCTGTATGAAACAATTGTAAGCTCCTGCGACCCTTAAAGGAGTAGTTCACTTAAAAAAAAAAAAAAAAAAAGAACAAAAAAAAACTTTTGCTGATAATTTACTCACCCCCATGTCATCCAAGATGTCCATGTCATTCTTTCCTCATTAGAAAATAAATTAAGGTTTTTGATGAAAACATTCCAGGATTTTTCTCCATATAATGCACTTTACTGGTGACCAAACGGTTCAAGGTCCAAACGACAGTTTCAGTGCAAACTGCAAACCGTTCAAAGGGCTTTAAATGATTCCAGACGATGAATAAGTGTCTTATCAAGCGGGTGAGTAAATTATCAGCAAAAGTATTTTTTTTTTTATTTTTTTTTTATTTTTTTTTAAGTGAAATACTCCTTTAAGTTGTTGGTGGATGGACGGACAAACATATATATATATATATATATATATATATATATATATATATATATATATATATATATATATATATATATCAGATATATTGTTCGCGTCTGTGTCCTCATTAATAGCCTACATAGAAAATGCCTGTGAGTGGGAGTCATAAAATATAAGCAATAGCTACAATTTTGTATATATACAAATATATATAAGATATATTATTCGCGTCAGACTCAGTTCACGTGTGAAAGTGCGTCACGCTTGGTTTAAAATGCGGTCGGTTGTTTTTATTTTATGAGCCATTTTGCTGCGAGGAAGAAACCGAATATCATTTAATCAGTGTAAACTACTTATCACAGTCCCAGACAGACATTGTTGAATGAGTTGAATGTCTTCATCTGAGGTAAATCCACACGCGCACTCTCACAAATGTTTTGCTCTCCCACACAAGACATTTAAATTTCCTGTTTCTAGGATATATAGGCTATAGCCTACATTTACACAAATAAAGTAACACACCATTCACCTTGAATACGCGCGCTTTTGACAGTCCAAAAAGGCTATCAACAATGCAGTAATGCTATATTTCATATGGTGGTACATTGAGTAGCCTATTTGAGTTTTGGCACACAATGTAATGTCATTTGCGGACAGTGTAATCAAGAGATTAGACGTTTATGGTGCGGCCTATTCATGGATGTCTTTGGCTACTGTAAACTGAGCTCGAGTAGACTATATGAACAATTAGAAATACTGATTTAAACACTAAAATAAAATGGAAACCCCTGCCCAGTGCCCATAAGAATGATCATTGCAAGTACTTTTCCAATAGAGGGCAGCATAACATCAGCGCAATGTTAGCTCGTGACTGTGTCACAAAATACTTGGAGGCAACTTAACACTTTAGCATTAAATAACTCTCATATTTCAACATTCATTAAGAATTTAAAGTGTTCTTTTTTGGTGAGTGCTTTATCCAATATTTCTGAATATGGATTTGCAAGTCTGTTTTGAAGCCTTCTGAGGTTTACATCAGGTCTTGCTCTGGTTCTTGAAAATATGTAAGGCGTCTGAATGCTAAAATTACTCTCTTAGGAGGAGAGGATGTTCAAACATGATCTTCTCCGACTTCTGAAAACCAATGTTAGCACTGGCATATTTGTTTGGCCGTGGCCCCAGAGCATTGTATGAATTAGATGGAACAGCTAATGGTGTACAGCAGGCGAAACTTCAAGGGCTCTCTGGCACTTTAATGGAGTACGAAGGTGCATGTGAGATGCTGTTAGTGAATGCAGTTAGAAATTGTATGTGTGTTTGTGTGACTGGAGTAGCATCTGACTTAAACATCCCACTTTGATCCCCCATCCAGCTCTTTGTGAGTTTCCTCCTGGTATTATCATGTCCATTAAGTGATCACTGCTGTAAATTACAGAGGAAAGAGGTCATGTGAAACCATGCCATACATTTGGAAAATTGTTTGTCATTATGGCGCATTATCATAGTTAGCTATTTGTGTAAGATCATAAAGGTATGCATGGGTTTGTGTGTCTGTGTGTGTTGGTCTGAGCTTAAATCTGGTAGGCCTACATTTCTTTTTCTTTTTCCTTTTAACTTTGATTAATGAATAATGTATGGCCTATAGATGAAACGCCTCAATATTAGAAGCCCAGTCTCCTCAGGTCATACCTAGTTGTTTTGCCAGAGATTGTCAGTTTATGGATTTCACATTAAGCTCACAACCTTCCTGCCCTTTCTAGCTCTGAATATTCAGATGAATTTTACTCCACAAAGAAGACCTCATTAAATATTCATGCCACTTTATCAGCGCAATCAACGAGCGTATTTACTTTTTCGCTAAAATACCATTCTACAAAACCATCTCAGTTCTGACTACTCTTATGAAACATTGTTTAATTTGACCAAGGTAAAGGATAATGATTGTTCCTGCACATCTAAGCGAGGCTGCTGCAGTTGGTCCATGTAACTGGCTTACACGCAGCTTGTAAATTGATTTTTTTTGAGTCGCACTAGGTTCAAGGTTGGGATGAAATGTCCTTCTAATGGAATTAAAATTCAATTCAATCAAATGCAGTTGTACTAAAAGCTGTTCATCCAATTTACCCTCACCCCTCTAGCTTGTTTTTTGGCACCTCTGTTTTAAATGAGGCTGTAGTTTTATTTTATTGTATTTTTAAAAAAAAGTTGTGTGGTTAGCATGGCTGATATATGCTGAGTCTATAAATAGGCTAAACATTATGAAATTTAACATCTACTATAGTGTTATTATGTCGAAGTAGTATTTGACTGTTGAATTTGAGTAATATCTGAACCTATTCAGTTTTTTTTCACATTCCGTATGTCATCATGTTGAGTGTTATCATTAACTAAAACTATTAAAAACCATATTTATTCATGGAAATAATGCTGAAAAAATGCAATATAAATATAAGATGAAAAAAAGCAGTTTCTGAGAAACTGTTAATATTTGAAATTAACACAAACAAACCCAGTTAACACATTACTTGATATAGTTACGAACACATTGAACACGTTACTACGTGTACTTTCTATATTAATATACTAGTAAAAAGTTTGTAACGCTAGCCGTTACTCTGTTAGTATTATGTAGCTAATTGCTCCACTCCCAAAATGCACAAACAGACAATGCCAGAGTGAATGTGTTTTTAAAGCGAAGATGGCGAACAAATGACAAGAACAAATAAATAAATAACACAGCACAAAAGAGTATACAAACAAGAGTTTGTAGTTGATCAGCTTCAGACAAACAATGACACTCAAAACGGACCTATAGACCCCCCTTTGCGCCGACGTCACAGTTACGTCACAGTTACGCTGGTTTCTCTATGAGGTAGGTGTAGAAGTCAGGCCACTCAACCGAGGTAATATAACGTTAATCCTGTCAGATCATCTATGCATTGAGTGAGCGTGTAGGCAGCTACGGGTCGGTCAATCTGGTTCCGTCCGTCGCGGTCCTGGACACTGAATGACCTTACACATTAAGATAAAATCGGATTTTCTCCAGTCATTGTTAAAAAACAAGCTAACAATACTTGCTAACTAGCATTAATGAAGTGGCTAGAGGGATGGTTCTGCCTCCACCTAAGCTCTGCCCACAAAAAAAAAAAAAACATCACCATGTTTACCAACTGAAAAGGGGTCTATTACTAGAGCTAACATTACAACAACAGCATATATTGGTTCTATGAAATTAGCAAAACCAATCTCCCATATGGAGCAGAAACAACAACCTCGGCGTCCATTTTCAGGCCTTCCCGCTTAGGTCTCTCCAGCGCTGGAAAGCTTTTCTAATAGTCTATTAATGTGGGTTCTAAAGCTTGTGGCTGATTTTTATATCAGATATTCATCTAAGCTTTTCTCTTTTATAATGCCTCTCTGCCATCTCTCTTTCTAGTCTTTCTTCAAATCTCTCTCTTGCTCACTTTCTCTCCTCCCACATCACGAGTGAACTGCTGATTGGCTATAAGTGTGTTGTGGTGCTCGGTCTGATCCACTTTCAACAGCGCTTCTCAGAAATTGCTTACTGCACCTTGAATTTGAAGTACTAGACTTAAATTACTAACTGAAATAAAACTATAACATATAATTATTTAGAAACATTTTAAGACACATTTTAAAAAAATATTATAATATAAAAGCTATTTTACTAATTTACTAAAAGCTAAAATACTAATAAAAACAAGATTAGTAATATAAATTATAACACTGGTCACATCCACCAGTGTCCACCATCACAAGTTTGGTAAACAAAGTTTTGCCTACATTTTTATCAGTGGACATAAATTTTGATTGTTGAACTAGACAAACCATAATGATATATATATGAAGAGTTCAGATGCAAAAGCCTCTAAATGCCATTTGAAATTTTCTTCTTTAATGATAATTTTTTATCAAACTTGTATATTTTATTTCATTAATTTCACTTAAATAACAATTAATAGAACAAATATATATAACAAATAACAAATAATAAAAATCATCATTAAAGAAGAAAATTTCAAATGGCATTTAGAGGCTTTTGCATCTGAACTCTTCATATATAAGGAACTACACTGCCTCAGAATTCACTCTATGTGAAAGTAATAGTGATATGGGCATCTCTGGTAACATACTGGAAGTTTACTAATGAGTTTCTACAGCGAGTTTCTGGCTCTCTTCACCCAAACATTGTTTACACGGTTCCCCTAAAGAAACAAGAACATATTGAAAACATTTATTGTAGTTTATTCCAGGTCACTAGAGGTGTAATGAAAAGTTTATGGGCCGGGCTCATCTTTAGGTCATCAATGTGATGGAGTTCATTGTTGTTTTTCAGAATGCTCACACAAACTGTTCATCCCTGCTGCATATATTGCAATTAGAGATAATTGTTTGTCTTATTCATTGCAGCTAAACTTATGGCTGTTGATTCCGCCAGATA